CACAGGTCTGCATATCCCCTCGTTCTCCAGGAACCTAGTTGGTGTCGGCTGCCTCCAGGACCTTGGCGTCACCACTACGTTCCCTGGTCACGAGCGGTATGCTGTCTGTAGCGAGGCCGCCACTGGTGCCCCCCTGTCCACGTTCCCCCGGGACCCGGTGTCCGGCCTGTTCACTCTAAACACCGTGACCCCCCCGGCTGGGGCGCCTCCTCAGGTGGCTGCGTCTACCCAGGTTGCTGCTGCCTGCTCCTGTCGGTCCCTCACTCACCCGACTCTCCTTTGGCACCACCGCCTAGGTCACCCTGCGCTCCCGCGTCTGCGTCACATGTCCCAGCACGGTCTTGTCCTTGGTCTCTCAGGTTCCCTCCCCGCGTTTCCCTCCTCCCAAGCCCCACCTTGCACGCCTTGTGTTGAGGGTCTGCTTCGCCGTGCCCCGCACTCCTCCTCGTTTCCCCCTACCGCCGCGCCACTGCAGACCCTGCACCTGGACGTCTGGGGCCCCGCCCCCGTCCCTGGGCCGCGTCGAGAGCGCTACTTCCTTGTGCTTGTCGACGACTTCACTCGTTACACCACAGTCTTTCCCCTGGAGCGCAAGGCCGACGTGCCTGGCGCTCTCATCCCCTGGCTTGTCTCTGCGCGTGTCCACCGCGGTCTCCCTGTCTTGCGTCTTCACTCCGACTGTGGTGGCGAGTTTGCCTCCGGTGTCCTTGGTCGCTTTTGTCGTGCGGAGGGCATCACCCAGACGTTCACCCTACCGGACTCCCCACAGCAGAATGGGGTCGCTGAGCGACGCATCGGTTTGGTCATGGAGGTGGCTCGCACCTCCATGATCCATGCCGGTGCACCCCATTTTCTGTGGCCGTTCGCTGTGCGCTACACTTCTCACCAGCTTAACTTGTGGCCGCACCCTCAGCAGCCGCAGGTTTCGCCGACTTGTCTTTGGACTGGGTCTCCTGGTGACGCGTCTGCGTTCCACGTCTGGGGCTGCCTTGCTCACGTCCGTGCCTCCGGCACGGACAAGCTCACTGCCCGCACCCTTCCCCGCGTCTTCCTCGGTTTTCCCCTTGACGCGTCCGACTGGCACTTTTACCACCCGCCGTCTCACCGCTTCTTTCACTCTCGTGACGTCACCTTTGACGAGTCCGTCTCCTACTACCGTCGCTTCCCCCACCGTGGTCCCCCGGTTACCCCCCCCCTGGTCCTGGTCCCTCCTTCCCCGGTAGTCCCTGCCCCTCCTCCTCTTCCTCCCCGTCCCGCCCCCTCTGGTGTGTCCCACGTCAACCCCCTTCCGTCGGTGGACCCGGTTGAGGAGTCTTCTGACTCTGGTGGCCCTCCTGTTCAGTCCTCGCTGGCCGCCCCTCCCCTAGCGTCCCCTCCCCAGTCCCCCCCTCCACCGCCTCTGCCGCCGCTGCAGCCGTCGTTGTCGCTGCCGCCCCCGCCGCCGCCGCCGCCGCCGTCGCAGCACCCGTTCGCTGACTCTGGGGGTGCTCTCGGTCACCCTGGAGGTGGTCCCTCTGGGGGTGCTGGTGTGGAGTGTGCCGGTGGTAGCCGAGGAGCAGCTTGCGGTCCCGGTGTCGCCGTTGTGCTGCCGCAGCAGTAGTCCCCGCCGGTGTCAGCCCTTCGCCTGCTCGGCCTTCCGTCCCCCGACCCTGCGTCGGTTCCTCCCCGGCCGTCTCCTCCTCTTCCTGTTTACGGCCCTGTCTTCCCTCCGCCGGACTCGTCCCCGGCCCGTCTTCCCCCTCGTTCCCCTCCTGTGTCCCCTCCTCTGAATCCTGACCCGACTCCCCCGTCGCACGTCTGGTCTCACCGTCCCTCCCGCGCTCGTCCTGCCTCGCCTGTCTTGCGCTCCCACCCTATGTTGCTTCGTTCCCACGCGTCTCGTCCTCCCCTTCTGCCATCGCCTCCTCCGTCCTCCCTTGTATTTGCACCCCCCCCGCTGTCTGACTACCTTTGTGCCGCTCGTCCCCTTGTTCCTCGGGTCCTTGCCTCTCTCGTTACCGACCCGTCTGTTCCGACCTCGTGCCTTGACGCTCTTGTCGCTGCGGTCGCTGACTTCGCGTCTACCCGCCGCCTTGACTACGCCACCGCTCTGGTCTCTGACCCTGCCTGTCCTCCGTCTGTCGGGGGTGCTTCTGCCCTTGGCAGTGACGTCCTGGAGGACCGCCAGATCGAGCTTGCTTTCCTCTCTGAGGCTGCTCCCCATCTCTGTTCCATGCTGCTAGTCCCTGAGGGTGACCCAGACGCTTTTGACATCCCGACCCCTCGCACTTACGCTGAGGCGACTTCGGGACCCTGGGCCTCGCAGTAGATAGCTGCCATGGAGCAGGAGATGGCATCTTGGAGATCCACCGGCACCTTCGTCGACGCAGTTCCCCCACCTGGGGTGAACGTAGTCGATGGCCGCTGGCTCTTCAAGGTGAAGCGCCCTCCTGGAGAGCCGCCGGTCTTCAAGGCGCGCTATGTGGCTAGAGGCTTCAGTCAGCGCGAGGGGGTGGACTTCTTCCAGACCTTCGCTCCGACCCCGAAGATGACTACTCTTCGGGTTCTGTTACACCTAGCTGCTCAGCGTGACTACGAGCTTCACTCCCTCGACTTCTCCACTGCCTTCCTTCAGGGCAGCCTACACGAGCAGGTCTACCTGCGGCGCCCTCAGGGCTTCACTGGCACCTTCCCTCCTGGGACCCAGTGGCTCCTGCGGCGCCCCGTCTACGGCCTGCGCCAGGCTCCTCGTGAGTGGCACGACACTCTCCGTGCTACGCTTGCTGACCTGCAGTTCTTTCCGTCTTCCGCAGACCCTTCACTCTTCGTTCGTGCTGGCCAGACTCCGTTCTACATCCTTGTTTACGTCGACGACCTGGTCTTTGCCACAGCAGACAGGGACGCACTGGCCTCCGTGAAGGCAGAGCTGCTGAAGAGACACACCTGCACTGACCTTGGAGAACTGCGCCGTTACCTTGGCTTGCAGATCTCCAGGGACAGAGCTGCGCGCACCATCACCCTGACTCAGTCACACTTGGTGCGCCAGGTCCTTCAGAGGTTCAGCCTTCAGTTCTCCTCTGCACAGCCCACCCCTCTGCCTGTAGACCACAGACTCTCCGCTCCAGTGTCTGAGGAGTTGGTAGAGCCCAGCGGCCCCTACGCAGAGCTGGTGGGTTGCCTCATGTACCTGATGACTTGCACTCGCCCAGATCTCGCATACCCTCTCAGCATCCTGGCTCGCTTTGTGGCCACAGACAGACACCGACCGCAGCACTGGTCTGCCGCTAAGAGGGTTCTGCATTATCTTGCTAGTACATCAGGCATGGGGTTAGTGCTAGGAGGACGCAGGCCAGTGGTCCTTACTGGACACACAGACGCTTCGTGGGCAGACGACGCTGAGACACTCAGGTCTACCCAGGGCTACTGCTTCAGCCTTGGCTCAGGTGCCGTCTCGTGGAGAGCTACTCGCTCCTCGTCTGTGGTGCAGTCCAGCTGTGAGGCTGAGATCTACGCTGGTGCCATGGCGGCACAGGAGCTCCGCTGGCTGACCTTCTTGCTCACCGACTTAGGTGAGCGGCCTAGCTCTGCCCCGGTCCTGTTCGCTGACAACAGGGCCATGATCCTCCTGTGTCAGGAGCCTCGACTCGAGGGCAGAGCAAAGCACATTCAGCTGCGGTACTTCCTCCTGCGTGAGCTACAGCAGCGACGTCAGGCTCGCGTAGTACACTTGGCCTCAGGTGCCAACACGGCTGATATCTTTACGAAGGCGCTTGCGCCTAAAGATCATCAGCGGCACTGTGTACAGCTTGGTCTAGTTCCTGTAGCCTCTCACTTGCTAGGACCTTGACTTTGTACTGTCCTTTATATGTATACTCAGACTGGACTTGTGTCCTCTCTCAGTGGCTGGACTAGTAGTGCCGCCCTGCTCTTGTTCTTGCCTTGTTTGTACTCCTTCTGACTGGTCTCTCAGACCCTTGTCTCAGAGGTTGGACTAGTAGTGCCGCCCTGAGCTGTTTGTTTAGGGCATTCCCCTATGCAGTCTAGGGGGTGTGTCAAACATGTGTATTTGTCATATTTGTATAGACTGTATAGGGTCGCCTCTTAGAGAGTACAACACTTAGGTATATCTGTGTGTACTCTCACTCTATCTATTATTCACTTCTCAATTCTGATAACTAGGGCTCGACGGTTCCTTTTTGGGTGGGTGTGTTCGTGGTCATTTCTTGGTTTGTTATGGTTTTTCGGGTTCTAGCGGTGGGGTTCATCTGGTTGTCGGGGAAGAGCTCGCTATCTCTCATTATTGATGGGGTTCCTAACGACATCAAAGTGGCACGCAGTTAGGGATGAAGGTTATCTTTGTACGATATTTTATGATTTATGCAATCAAAACTTGCAGTTAAAATGAATAATAATAATAAAATTCATGGGAAAACTTGGGCTCTTCCAAATTCCATTTCCACTATCTTGATCGGCGCGACCCTTCATGTTGAGTCGTCAACTTGTTACCCTAGTTATCCTGAGCTTAAGTTGTGTTGCTCGAAGTGTACACTTATAATATTGTTTGTCTAAAGAGACAATTTCGAGACTTCGGACCCTGTACGTACAACCACAACTGCCTATCTGGCAGACACCATTCAGCTTGCTTGCTAGCTTGGTGGTAAGGGAGGGATTGAGCAAATGTGGTTGGGTGGCGGCAAGTGGGCATCTGTGGGCGCTTCGCTTGTGGTGGGGTTTGACTACGAGTCGATTTGCGACTCGATGCAGCAGATATTCACAAGGTTAATCACGTTTTAACAGTTTACAGTGCTACTCAGTACGGTACCAGATTGTTAACGCATTGCGAAGGATTACCACGTGGCCTCTCTCAACCACCAGCCGCCATCGACATGAGAAACCAGAGGGAGGACGCAGTTGCAGGCAATCCCGTTCAGTTCACTGCCATGAGGCAGGCACAAACCAGATTCAGGCTTCATCTCCATTTTATATTAGTGGTGTTTGTCACAAGTCTGACATCCACCAGCCTCGCTTGGACATTTCTAGCACATCCTCAGGGATTCATCTCTCCAACTCTATTTTGTTGGACGCTATCCTCAGTGCAAGTATGGCATTTCCTAGCATCCTCTCCCTACTCCTCTCGCTTTGCCTAGCACACGCCGCTATGGCGACAAACATGCCCGCCGGTGGATGCCACACACGCTACGTCTGCCCCTACATAGATAACCTCGCCACCGCGACAATCTCTGAGTCCACCTACACCAATTATAAGTTCATCGGCAACTATCAGGGGCTGTTCAACGACCAGGGCGGGCAGTACGCGCCGCACCAGCGCGGCTCGGGCCCAGTGAACTTCGAGCGCTACACGGAGGTCGGAACCATCTTCGATGTAGTGAAGGGCGTGTACGGTGACACCCTGCAGGAGTGCTGCCGCGCCTGCGCCCGCTCCACTTACTGCTACGAATGGCATTGGTTCAAAAAGTGCGTGCCCCTGATTCGTATTTCGGATGAAATATACGCATTTGCGACGTCACGTGTTCCTAACAGGACCGCTGGTTTCATTCTTCCATGGGACTAATTCTTGTTCCATCCGCTTTTGTCACGGTGCCCTTCTCTCCAGCCCTCGCCTGGCCGGCGAGAACTCAAAGGTGGCGGGATTTATTGACCGCGTACAGTGCTACCTCCTGGAGAAGAACGGCGGGACGGGCACGTCGGGGACCTTCAAAACGCCGTACGCGGGGGACGCGGCGACGCAGACGGCTAACACGGCGTCGTACCCGCTGAGCTTCGTCGGCGGGCTCTGCAACGGCACGGCGCTCGTCGAAAACGACCCGCATCTCACGGGCGCTCACGGCACGCACTATGATTTCACGGGCCGCCTCGACAGGTCGTTTTGTCTGTTCTCGGACCGTCGATTCCACGTCAACATGTTGCTTAACGGGTACCAGGGCATCCCGCCCGCGCTTCCCGCGACCGCCCGCTCGAATGTCTCGAAGGAATCTAGCATGGAGCTCCATACGTGGATTAAGGAGGTCGGCGTGGCTTGGATGACACCCGACGGCGCCAACCACACGCTGCGCATGGTGGCGCGGAAGGGGAAGCAGCAGGAGCGCGGCGACAACGGTTTCCTCTCTCTGCTCGAGATCGACGGCAAGACGACGCAGCCACCGAGCCTCGGCGAATCGGTCGCGACAGAAAGCGGGCTGGTGTTGACGAAAGTGGCGGAGGAGAAAGAAGGGCCGTTTGATGTGGACCAGTTTCAGGTGCGCGTGCTGGGCCTGGGGGAGCTCGACGTGCGCACGCGCGTGGCGCACCCGCTGCTGCAGACGCCCTCGGAAGCGGAGGCCCACTTCAACGTGGAGCTCTCCGACGTCAAGATGACGCCCGCCGTGCACGGTGTGCTGGGGCAGACGTTTAGAAACACCCCCGAGCAGCTGCAGCGCGCGGTTAAGTATTCGCACTTAGCCGCGCTGCTGCACCACCCTGTGGACGTGGATAGGGACGAGGGCAACGGGTTCCTGGACGGCGAAGTCGAGGACTATATTTCCTCGTCTATTGTCGCGCCGGACTGCAAATACGCTAGCTACGGCACTGCCTCGTGAGGCAGTGCGGTCTCTCATGTCCAGTGAGACATCGACGAGGTAATTGGGAGGGCGAAACTGGGCCCTGCTTTAGTCCGCACGCCGCTAAACCTGGCCTTGGTAAGGCAAATAAAGTAGGCTCGGACCATTCTTTCATATGTGTCATATGTAATTCTAGTCATAAGTGGCAAATATTAACGAACAAGATTGGCAATGAATGACATCATAGGTAAAAAAAGGACAGGAAATGAAAGATTTAATTGTTTGTCAGGAAATGCCACAAATATGGTATGGTACACAGAATGTGCATTATGAAAGTGTGAATTGTGTTTTTCTCGTATGGAATGTAAAACCTGTTCGAGAAATATTTCGGCAGTAGGTTTTATGCAATTACGTGAAGGCTGGGTTGACAAAGAGACCCCAAAAGTAAACATCTGCGTGGACCAATTTTAACAAATATAGCCCTTTGTTACACTTCCCCCGTGTGCCAGTTGCTGTGCTCTACCTCATCCCACCAACTCCAAATCCTCGCTTTGGTTGTTTCAGAATAACACCTCACTCGCCTTGCTTCATCATCGCATCGTTCTCTCCCGTTCCCCTGTCCATGCGTCAGCGCCAAGTGCTTCAATCCCTCGAGTGCTGAGCGTTGGTAATTCCTAATGTCGACGCAGATGGAGGCGGGAGAGGATGGATTACAGCCGTTGATTCCAGGCCTCCTCGACGATCTAGCGATCATGTGCCTCATTCGCGTGCCACGTGCCTACCACAGGGTAACCTCCTGTTACCTCGTCTCTCGCATGATCTCCTCGCCCTCTCTTATTCCCCTGCCTTATTATTGGACAACAATCATATCTGCCTGCTCCCCAAATCCGCGTGCTCCCCAAATCCGCGTGCTCCCGTAATCCGCCGGCTACCCGAATCCTTAGTAGCTCTCCCCATTCCGCACCCTTTCGTTTCCCCCTCGTCGCGCTCCCCCAACCCCCAACAAAAGGCCCTCCGCCTGGTGTGCCGCCCGTGGGCGCAGCTGCTGGACTCGGGGGAGCTGTGCCGGCGGCGGCGGCAGTGCGGGGTGGCGGAGGCGTGGGTGTACGTGCGCACGCGCGACGGCGCGTACCGCAACTACTGGCGCGCGTTCGACACCACCACGCGCACGTGGCACGCGCTGCCGCCCCTGCCGCCGCTGCTGCTGCCGGGGGAGAGTGTCGGCGGAGCAGAGAACGCCATGCAGGTGGGGGGAAGGAGAGAAAGGGGGGAAAGGGGAATTAGAAGGAAGGGTTGGGGAGGGGGGGGGAGGAGATGGTACTAGAGGAAGGAGGAATGGAAGGGGAGAGGGTGTGAGAGAAGGGGATAATTGGGTGTGGGGAGGCAGTGAAACGCGGAGAGGGCGAAGTTGCCTGGAGAATTGGGGTATGCAGGTGTGTGACAGTTGACAGTGCGGTGGTGGGCGTGTGACAGAGAGGTGGGCGTGTTGGAAGCATGAACATCTCACATACATAGATCGCGTTGTTCTTCCCTACCAGCTAGGATGCGCGGTTGAACTTGCTTTGGCCATGCACACACTCATCCGTCCACCCCTCACCCCTCCTCCCTCTCCATCTCTTTCATCCGCACTCCCTTCCAACTGTCCACCCGGCCCAGCCGTTTCCATATCTGCTCCTTCTCGCCCGTTCTCCCCCTGTGCTTTGCTGCGTCTGCACCCCTTGTGCTGCGCGCCACGTGCCATGCCTTGAGCAGCGGCGAGGATCCACCTCAATCGAAACCCGTGTCAGTCCCTCTCGCCCCGAGAACCCCCTTCCTACCACTCTAAGCCACTCGTTGCCACTTTGCACCACTCCCCGAACCTCGTTTTCTGTCCCACACCGCCCTGTCTCAACCCTCCACCCCCTTCCTCCTTCCTTCCTTCCCCCCTCCCCCTCTCCATCCCTGCACTGCACTCCTCCCCTGCCAGGTGCGCGGGCTGGGGTCGGCGGCAGTGGGCGGCAAGCTGTACGTGTTTGGGGGGTGGCGGGAGGGCGGGCCGGCGCTGCAGTGCACGTGGTGCTACGACCCGTGCACGGACCGCTGGCAGCGCCGTGCCGACATGGGCACTGCCAGGTGCTACATGGCGTCTGGCGTGCTGCCCGCTGGGAGGGGTGCTGATGGTGGTGGTGGGAGAGGATGGAGACTGGGGGGAACAGAAGGAGAGGGGGGAGGTGGAGATGGGACAGGAAGAGGAGGAGGAGGATGGGGAGGGGGAGGGGGAGGGGTAGAAGGAGAAGGTATGGTAAGCCCCACTCAAGCTGAGTTTGACAGCGCAGCCACCACGCCCAGGAGCAGAAGCAGAAGCGCCACAACTGCTACTGGCGGCGGTGGCGATGGCGGTGTGATCCTCGTGGCGGGCGGCATGGTTCGTCCACGTCTGCACCCTAGCGAGCTGCTGGTGGCGGCAGAGCAGTACGACGTGGCGCGGGACGAGTGGACGGCGCTGCCGCCCATGCCGCAGCCCATGCTGTTCTCGTCAGGCGTCACCCTGGCAGGAAGGTTCCTGGTCAGCGGCAACTTCACTGATGAAGGACAGGTGAGGGGGGGGGGAAGGTGGGGGGGGGGGGGGTGGATTTGAGAAATAGGGGGCAGGGGGAGGAGGGGGAGGCCAGGGGGGTGTGAGAGGATGATGAGTGGGTGGGGGAGTATGTGTATGTGAGGGGATTTTGATGTTGTTTCTTTGATGCTGGCTGGAGTCTGACTGTGAATGGTGAGTCCATCCATGCACGTGTATGTGTTGTTCCAGCACCTACGTCCATCCGCTCTGGCAATCTTGACCAGTTCCTTTCCCTTCCTCGCCGTTCCTCCGGCTGTTTTGTGTAGTTTCCTTGCAACATCCTACTGATGACCCGCCCTCTCTCTCTCCCTTTCTTCTGCTGCCCTCTCCCCACGCCTCCCTTCCTCTCCCCACACGGTCAGTGGGGAGCGGTGTACTCGCCCCCCACGCGGCAGTGGCACCCCATAGCGCACCGGTCGCTGGCCACGTCGCTGCTCTCCCCCTGTGCGGCCCTTGCCGACCTGCTCTTCTGCATCAAGGACGCGCTGCAGGTGCGCGGGTTGTGGGCGAATGAATGACGGGGTGCAGGTGGGTGGGGTGGGGGTGAATGAAGGGGTGCAGTTGGGAGGGGTGGGGGACGCCCCGCAGGTGGGTAGTGCTTGGGACTGATTGTCACACACGCCCCACAGGTGGGGGCGCCTGTGTATGGCGATGCAGGCGGGTTGGGTGTGGAATGCAGATGTAGTACGGAAATGGTCACTTTTGCGGCCAAGCAGGGCACACTTGCAGCCTCCAGATTCTTGACCAGTGGCGCCTCACCTCAACCCAAGCGTCTTTGAGCGGGTGCCCTTGTTGCGTCCTCCTCGTCTCAGGTGTGCAACCCCTCACGCGGCAACTGGGGACTGGTGAGGAGGGCCAGGCACGCATATCCACTAACGCATGCCCCCCGTACTCCTCTCCGCTCACTCTGTCCATCGTCGCTCCCCATCTCCCCCAACTGCCCATTCTCTCGTCCTCTCTCCCCCCAGGTGTGGAACCCCTGGCGCGGCGACTGGGACCTGGTGGAGGGTGAGGCACGCATCTTCACGGACACCCGCTTCCCCTGCTGGGTGTGCTGCATGGCGTTTGTGGGGCGCCGCCTCTTCCTCGTGCACCAGAACTCCTCCATCACTGCCGTCACACTCGAGCTGCACCACCCCTCTCCGCGTGCTCCCACTTCTGCTGCTCCTCTGGCTGCTGGCGGTTCTGCTAGTGATTCTCTTCCTCCTACTCCAACTCGCCCTGGGTCCGCTAGTGGTGGCTTGGATGATAGTCCAGATGCGGTGAATGCTGCTTCTGCTTCTTCAGGTTCTGTGGCAGCTGGAGTGGGGGGTACGGAACAAATGGGCGCAGGAAGTGTGGTAGAGGCTGCAGTAGAGACACCCGCTACTGCTGCTGCTATTGGTGGTGCCGCTGCTGGTGCTGGCGATGCTGGTGACAGGAGGGAGGCAGACGAGAGATCAGCAAGAGGCAGGGAAGCAGGAGCAGCGAGGGAAGCAGGAGCAGAGAGGGAAGCAACAGCAGCGAGGGAAGAAGCAGCAGCGAGGGAAGCAGCAGCAGCGAGGGAAGCAGTGGCAGCACGAGAAGCAGCAGCGGAGAGGGCTATGAGGGAGGTGGCGGAGGCAGTGGCAGCAGCAGAGGCGGTGGGAGTGCCATCCGCAGTGGCCCCTGCAGCCGGGCACGTGGCAGGGCAGATCTCCCACGCCCTGGCTGCTGGCGCACGCACACGGCATGAGGGAGGAGAGGGGGCAGGAGAGCGTGTAAGAGGGGGTGCGGGGGAGGGACTTCAGGAAGCTGGAGGGGAGCCAAGGGACGTGCTGGTGAGTCCTGCGGGTCGAGGGCCTGGGGAGTGGGGGAGAGGTGGTCTTGGAGGAGAGCAGAGTGCACTGCTTTCAGTGCAGGGGAGTGAGGGCGAGGGAGGAGGTGCGGAGGGTTGGTGGGGGGAGAAGCCATGGCGGTTTGGGGGGAGGGGAAGGGGGAGGGCGCAGCAGGTGGAGGTGAGAGTGGAGGAGGTGGTGAGAGTGAGTGAGGGGGTGGCTGCCGACGACGAGCAGGCCATAGACTGTTATGTACTGGAGGCATAGCAGGCATAACAAGCATGCACACGTGCTCGTGGGGGAGGATGAAACTAGCAGAGGCAGGCCATGGTGCTGCTGTGCAACGGGCATGCGAGGTTGCTGGCCGTGGCATTGTTTCTGGCGATTGATATGGCACCCCTACGCACAGGCAAAAGCGTTGTGTGTTCTGTTGTATGGAATGCTCTATATTAGGTTATGTTTGGGCAGTCATTTGCCGTTCCATGTCGATCCACTTGTGTAGGTAATCGTGGCCCAAGACTAGTGTACCATGAACATACCATGTATAGCATGAAACATACAGGATTTCAGACAGTTGTCTGAAGCAGTCGATTTATTATCAGTCAAGAAAGCATCTCGCACAGGCATTTTAGTATAGCTTTGGGCTAGGTGGGGCCCAACTTGTATATGGGAATAGAATGTCTCTATGACAACATTGGCTCGAAGTGCACAAGATAGAGATGCATATATGAATTACACGAATTTGTTTTGTGGCGGATAGCATAGCGAATTTGTGCGGCCACCAGTCATCCTCGTCTCAGCAAGCACCATACAGTTTCTCTGGCGCCGCAATTTTCCCGAACCTGATACTGTGCACTGTGGCGTGGGCTGGATGGTTGCCCGCGTTTCTGCCCCCCCACTGAATGTACACCGGGTGTCCAAGGAGTGCTGGAATATTGACCGGGCCTACCCCCTAGCCTGATCCCGTCCGCCACCAATCACGGGAATTTGTCCTTTCACCTGATGGCCCATTCACCGGGGTTTTGTGGTACCTGCGACACGCGGCGGCGAAAGTGTCCATGCAAAGGAGCTCGTGAAAGCACAAGTGTCCACGTAATGGCCCATTCTCCCGTGGCGAAAGCTGGCGAAAAAAATGCGCGCATTACGCTCACGCGATTTGTCGAAATCAGGGCTTTTGGGTGCGCACCTGGTGTAGAGCCGATGGGGTTGCCCTACAATTCACAAACCACCCACATCCGGGATGTCAATGGCACTTTGGACGCACAACGCTAGTCTTGGAGCCCCACCTACCTTGCCTTGGACCAAATATGGATGAGTGTGGGAAAACCAACAGACCTTAAAGCCCGCTCAGCAGGTTGCATATTTGTACTGTTTAGGTGGGTGGGACGGCAGAACCTGATTGGATAACAAAGGATTCTTCAAACGATATAGCTGGCGAGTACTAGGCTTTCTAGAGCCAGCGTTCGTTTCGTGCAAGCTAGCGGGGCTGGAAACTTGGCAGGGCTGCTAGTTTTGCAGCTCATAATATGGCAGAGAGCCACCTCGCCAACTCGGCCAAGTTTGTAGGGCGAGAACTCCTGACTGTTTCGATCCCAACCAACTCTTTGACCTGACCGGTTTCAGAAAAACAAACCGGATGTTGTTTGACGCATATACAGATCGGTACAGTGCGACCCCAAAAGTACGAATGACCTTTTTGTTTCGCGATTCCCGCCCAAACTGGGAAGTATATATTCAGGTTTCTACTCCCCACCCAACCCGTCCCTTTTTTTTCCCTCGAATAACTTGGCAGGTTTGCACTGCGAAGTTCCGAAAGGCCCCCAACCCTGTCTGGTTGGAAATCCTTTGCGAGCATTTGGCAGTTTGATGCCAGCTGCTCGGTTACGAGGGCCTCAAGGTGCAGCATCTTGAGAAAATATGACTTGCAACCTGCTGGTCGGGCTTTAACTGGTTGAGCTGCTGATTTCACAAGCTTCTTGTCGGGCGAACCCTCATTTCGGAAAATGTTGTTTCTTTATGTCGAGAGTTGATAGTTCGCTACAGTGCGCAGGTCTTTCGGATTGTTGCGATCCCTTCCATTTTTTTGTAATTATTATTATTTAATTAACTTCCCACCGGTTTAGAGTTGACAGTTCACTACAGTGCGCGAGTCTTTCGGGTTGTTGCGTTCCCTTCCACTGTTATTTATTTATTTAACTTCCCACTGATTTTCCTCCACGTGGGACCAAACAATCGTCACTCCAAAATATACCCCTACTTCGGGGGCTTGGGAAATACCCCTGACGGTCGGTTCCCCGGGCGGGCACCTACAATCACATTCCGAAAAAGAAGCAGCCAGCCTGACATACACGCTTTATCCTAACGAGTTTTTGGGTGTACCGGGCCCTGAAGAGGATTCTGAATGCTAGGTAAGGCGGCTCCAAGTCAAGCATCTACGTCAGCACCATGGGGGGTGACGCGGATACAGCATCGCCAACAAAACAACCCGTTACACACAGAAAGTCGGCAGAATCCAACAACCACGAACAACAGAGGCATCTGTTGGTCCGACCTGGCCGTTAGCATGAAACTGGACAGTACGGCATGTCCGGAGGCTCATTCTAAATCACAGCCACATTAGGGCCCTGATCGGTAAGCTGTAATTCCAGAATGTGGAATTCGGAATGCGGAATCCGCTGCGAGCTTTCCAAATTCCGTGCGTTTGACTCGCGAGGCTAGTTAGTGCGAGAAGTTGGGCTGGTTTATGTGCGAAATTGCCGGATGTAATTGACGCGTCTGAGCTGGCGAATTACCAAACTTGCCCGCAACGATCTTGGTCACGAAAAACAAAAGGGAGGGGGGAAACAGGGCTTCAATTGTGCATCTGGGGCCGTGCATCTGGCTTGATATCGAACTAGGACCCTGAATTTGTTTTCTTGGCGGTCAGAAACAGGCTGGTAGTGGGTATTGGACGTTTTCCATTTCCGAAATAAGGGCATCCGTTATTGCGTTTGGATTGCCCCACTCTTCATTATTCCCAGCTATTCTTGCAAAAAGGCTGGAATTCACATCGACCGGCGGTTGGCACGATTTCGCCCGAGTCAGCAGCCATCCCGCATTCCAGCCTTGCCTAATCTGGTGATCGGTACACATCTCTATTCCAGGAGGTTTGGTGTGATTAAAAAGATTGGTTGGCTTTAAGCCAATTCCGAGCCAGCCCTAAGAAATTGCTCGACACCATCCGGGTTCCAGAATATGGCCAACCGATCAGGCTCTACACCTGCACAGGCTTTCAAATCTTCGACGGAAACCCGTGTTGGTCGGGACAGGAGTGAATCGGGACGGGCTAAAACGGCCACGAAAACGCCCTTCCCCTAACGTTTCCTGGACGCCTTTGTACGGTACAGTACGCAGGACCTCGTGGCGGTGTCTGCGTCAGAGCGCCGCGCCATCAGTCTACGTACTTAGTCAGTCAGTCCCTCCCACCACGTCACATGTCATAGTGAGAGTGAAACATTTCAGCGAAATCAAGCAGTTTTAGCTCCGATAAAAGCCGCTCTTCGTTCCGTTCCACCGTCGAGTCCTCCCCTACGAAATTGACGAGTCTACGAAGAGCCGGATTCCCGCTTCGTCAATAACATACTGCAAGTCACTAACTACAGCAGCCGCATTGCAAGCAAGGACTCTGAGAATGAGGCCCGTCGTGTGTCTCCTGTTGCTGCTCGCATGTCTATCGTCACATCGCCTCGTCGCGGCCCGCATTTCCTCCCTCCCCGAAGCTGGCGGCGCCGCCACGAGTAGCAGCCGTCGCAAGCTGCCAGGTCAGTGGGCCGCACTCAGCGAGCAAGGATCTCTTGACGGGGATGGGCCGTTGGCGGTCGGACGCAGCTGCGGCAGCACTCGCGGAATGGTCTCATTCCTCTTGACTTCCATCCACCGTGCACCGTGCAGTAATGTCGCAACACTCGCGGACAGACCCTCACAAGCTCTTTTTCCAGACGAGCGTCGGGATTGTTGCACCCGTCTTATCATCTAACTTCCACCTCCCCCACTCCACGCGCCCATGCTCCGCCCCCCCCCCCCCCCCCCTCCCCCCCTCTCTCTCCCCCCCCTCCCCCCTCCTTTCAGTGGCCACCAAGTGTCCCACGGGCGTCATCTGCCCGTTGGGCGCGTCGTGCGTGGTGGACGCCAGCGGCTTCCCCTTCTGCAAGTGCGCGGCGGGGCAGGCCATCATCAACGGCGTGTGCGCGCCGGCCTCCAGCTGGAAGACGGTGGGAACCAACGTCGTCCTCTACAACCGCGCGTCGTACGCCAACTCGCCCACCTCCCTCGCGCCCGCCGTGCTGCGCGGCGCCGCGCCCAACAGCACGGCGTGCGTGAACCTGCCGGCCGCGTTCAACGGCACGATCGGATCGCTGCGGATCATGTGGAATGTGAACGACGGCGTGGCGGACCACCTGGTGTGCGGCAAGCTGTTCTTCTGGGACAAGCCCAACTGCTGCTGCTCGGGGTCCGGGTACGAGATCCCCGGCGGGTGGACGGCCGTGGACCCCAAGAAGTTCACCTACACCACCACCAGCATCAAGTGAGCGCCGCATCGTCATGCCACGCGAGGGGGTAGTAGTCGGTGGTCCTATGATGGAGCCTGATTTCCACTGCCGATGTTCCCACTCTACTCTCCTTTCATGTTTCCGAGCTCTATGTAGTTGCGTTACTCTCTGTTCGCCCGCCATGGCTGCTGCATTGAGGCGGACCCTCTGACTGTGTCGGTCGAGTGCGTGCAGGACGGCAACGGGCATCATCGCCACGGGCCGGTCCATCTCGTGCCAGGCCGCCATCGCGCCGCCCTCCTCCTCCAACCCCTGCGCCACGGCGTCGTGCCCGGTCAACTCCACGTGCTCCGTGGTGAACAGTGCCGCTGTGTGCACGTGCAACGCTGGGTTGACCATGGTCAACGGGCAATGCGTTGGTGAGTCTGAGGGAGCAGCATGCTCATGCTCAGTATGAGTCTCATGATACTCAATCAAATGGTCCTCTGTGTTCAAATGGTCCCACGCTGGGCCATGCAGCGCGAGTGCTCTGCGGTCTGCATACTCATACTCACTCATTTCTCTTCCCCCCCTGCCGCTTGCTCCGCACCAGTGCCCAACCCCTGCACCGGGTACACCTGCCCCGCAAATTCAGTGTGCTCCAACGTTAATGGCGTCGCCACGTGCACGTGCAATGCGGGATACCAGATGGTCAACGGCCAATGCGTCGGTGCGTGACCTCCCCTCTCTCTATCGATCGCCCCCCTCTCCCCCCCCCCCCTTTTTCATCGTGTCTCTCCCCACCTCCCGGCTTTTATCTCTCACTCTCTCCTCCACTCCCTCCCTCCAACCATCATGCTCCTTTTTGCTCGTCTTTCCTTCTCACTTTCCCTCCTTCATTTCCCTTTTCCCTTCCTCCCTCCTCACCCCCCCCCACCAGTGCCCAACCCCTGCACCGGGTACACCTGCCCCGCCAATTCAGCATGCTCCAACGTCAATGGCGTCGCCACATGCACCTGCAATGCCGGCTACCAAATGGTCAACGGCCAATGCGTCGGTGCGTGACCTCCCCTTTCTCTATCGATCGCCCCCCTCTCCCCCCCCCCCCCTTTTTCATCGTGTCTCTCCCCACCTCCCGGCTTTTATCTCTCACTCTCTCCTCCACTCCCTCCCTCCAACCATCATGCTCCTTTTTGCTCGTCTTTCTTTCTCTCTTTCCCTCCTTCATTTCCCTTTTCCCTTCCTCCCTCCTCACCCCCCCCCACCAGTGCCCAACCCCTGCACCGGGTACACCTGCCCCGCCAATTCAGCATGCTCCAACGTCAATGGCGTCGCCACATGCACCTGCAATGCCGGCTACCAAATGGTCAACGGCCAATGCGTCGGTGAGTGACCTCCCCTCACTCACTATGAATCCTCCCCCTCTCCATCCCCCTCTCCATCCCCCTTTCATCTCTCTCCCTGTCCTCTCCACTCCCTCTTTCCCTCGACCGGCTTCTCTTATCCCTGCTCTCCTCTTTCTCGCCTTCGATCCCCTTGTCGTTCCTGGCTAAGACGATTCCCTTTTCCCTTCCTCCCTCCTCCCCTCCCCCCACCAGTGCCCAACCCCTGCACCGGGTACACCTGCCCCGCCAATTCAGCATGCTCCAACGTCAATGGCGTCGCCACATGCACGTGCAATGCCGGCTACGAGATGGTCAATGGCCAATGCGTCGGTGAGTGACCTCCCCGCTCTCTATCAATCCCCTCCCCCCATTTCTATCTCCCTCCCCACTTCCCCCTTCCAGCTCTCTTTCTCCCTTCTCATCACAGCTATTCTCACCTCTTTCGTCCTCTCCTTCTCTCATCCCTACTTGCACTCCTTGAATTCTCTTGTTTCTGGCTAAACCGGTTTGCCTTTTCCCTTCCTCTCTCCCCCACCAGTGCCCAACCCTTGCACCGGGTACACCTGCCCCGCCAATTCGGCCTGCTCCAATGTCAATGGAGTCGCCACATGCACGTGCAATGCCGGATACCAGATGGTCAACGGCCAATGCGTTGGTGAGAGAACCCTCCTCTCAATATCTCTCCGCCAATCCCCCTTTTCTCTCTCTCTCTCTCTCCCTCCCTCCCCCTAACCCCGTATTTTATCTCCTTCTATCCACTCCACTCCCTCCCTCCCTCCCTCCACCATTCTCCCTTTTCCTCGTTCCCTCTCCCTTTATCTCCTTCAATTCTCTTTGTTGCTTCTGGCTACGCCGGTTTGCCTTTTCCCTTCCTCTCTCCTCCCCACCAGTGCCCAACCCCTGCACCGGGTACACCTGCCCCGCCAACTCCGCATGCTCCAACGTCAATGGCGTCGCCACGTGCACGTGCAATGCGGGATACCAGATGGTCAACGGCCAATGCGTCGGTGAGCGAACTCCCCATCTGCATCCCTGCATCACGGCCCCACTCACACATATATCTCGAGACACGCTTTTCCAGCCTTCTCCTCCACACCATAATCCAATCCTGCACCCATCTTCCCTCCCCCCCTCCCCCCCCTCCCCACCCCCTCGCTGCATGCAGCATCCCCCGACCCCTGCCTCACCACCACGTGTCCCGCCAAGGCCACGTGCACCAGCGTGAGCGGCGTGGCCACGTGCACGTGCGCCGTGGGCTACTCCATGGTCAGCGGCGCCTGCCAACGTACGCCCTGCCTGCCCTGCCCCCTCACGTCACTCAGCCCCTCGCCACGCCTCTATCCTCTCCCACCCTCTCCTGTCTCCCACCCTCTCCTCGCCTCTCCTCCACATGTGCTCGTTCAGCATTGCTCTCCCTCCTCTCAGTCTCAGCCCATCTTTCGAGGCATCTCCAAAGCACCTTCAGCACGTTGCTTCCCTTCCCTCATTCTCCATGCCTAACCCTTCCCCCCACTCCTCCCCACCACCTCACCCACCCCCCACCCCTACCAGCGGCGGATCCCTGTTCACTGGTGTCATGCCCCGCCAACTGCACATGTTCCTCCGCCAGTGGCGTAGCCAAGTGCGCCTGCGCCGGTCAGTGCCCGCCCCCACACCTGCTTCTCACCCTTCCCCCACCGTGCTTGCCTCTTCTCCTTCTGCCCTTTCTCATCCCCCCCCTCTTTCCCCTCCCCCCCCACCCCCCGGTCAGTGCGTGCCTCTTTCCTATCGCGCGCTGTCCTGTCCAACCCTAAGCTCATGTCGCCTGCTCTTTCTGACCCGCCCCTTCCGTGGCAGACCTGTGCTACGGGGTGAAGTGCCCTGACCTGTCCACGTGCACGTTCATGCTGGGCGCGCCCATCTGCAAGTGCCCTGCGCCCTACACACGCCTCATCGACAACAAATGCTCCACCGGTCAGTGCTGCGCCCATGCTGCTGCCATGCTGCGGCCATGTTGCGCTCGTGCTGCTGCCATGCTGCTGCCATGCTGCTGCCATGCTGCCGCTGTGCTGCTGTGGGTGGGTAGCACCGGAGTTTCACAGGCACCCAGCACACCTTGCAGCCGCCTTGGCCGTGGTATTGTACTGGGCGTGTGGCACTGTGCACTGTGCGTCCCTCTCTTCCTCGCTCCCTCACGCCACTTCCCCCATCTGCTCTTCTGCCGTGCGCCCATCTGTGTTCCCCCTTGGCAGCAACGCTGGCGAATTCGGACTATCTGGACAACCAGAACGCGGCGAGGGCGGCAGTGGGCGCCGTTCCGCTGGTGTGGAATGCCACATGTGAGTCCCTGTCCCTCCCAGTGGGCTGCTGTGCCTGTGTGAGTACTGGTGTTTCTTTTCTAAGTCGACGCAAGAATTATCTCCTGCTGCTGAGCAATGCCACATGTGTGAGTCCCTGTCCCTCCCCGTGTTCACCAGGCACTGCTCCTGCAGCCTACTGGGCAGTGAGGGTCCTGCGTGGTATGGGGTGCGTGCGGTGTGGGAGGCAGGGTGGCTGCTCACTTGGAAGTGGGGGGCCGCTGACTGTTGATTGTGCGTGCATGCCATGCCAATCCCACCAGCACTAAGCTCTCACCCCCTGGATGGCATGTAACATGCCAACTCAACTCAACCGACCCCATGCTACTCCCCAGCTTGCTCCAGCCACTCACACGCCCCGCTTCTCCTTCCTCTCCGTTCTCCCCAATGTGCAGTGGCTGCGAGGGCGCAGGCGTGGGCGACCACGCTCACCAACAGCACGTACAACTGCGGGCTGTCCCACGGCGGCAACAGCGGTGAGGGGCAGAACCTGTCGGGGGCCAGCCCCAGCGGGTGGGCGACGAATGGCGCTGCAGTGAGCTGGTGGGTGGGCGAGGGCGACCTGTACAGCTTCGCCGTCTTCTCCGGCGGCTGCAGCACTGGCAACTGGGCCGACTGCGGCCACTACACCCAGGTGCGGGGGAGGGACAGAGTGGGGAGAGAGAGAGGGAAGCTGGTCATGGTCATAGGTCATAGGTCATAGGTCATAGGTCATAGGTCATAGGTCATTTGTCATTTGTTGATGGGCTCCAGTATCTGAGTGGGTAGAAGCGAAGCTGGTCGGCCTCTGTTGGGTGGCACTGACGGCCTTGGCATCACGGCTTGTGGTGTGGGTGTGGCGCGCAGGTGATCTGGAACAACACCAAGACAGTGGGGTGTGGCAAGGCGTCGTGCGGCACGAGTGCGGACGTGTGGGCATGCAACTACTACCCGCCCGGCAACTACGGCGGCCAGCTGCCCTATGGTGAGGGAGGGCTCTCCCTCTTCACCACTTCCACCACTAGTTTCCCCACCAGCATCCTTTGCCACCACCACCACCACCTCGCATGAGTTTACCTGCTGGCATAGATAACACGCTTGCCACCAGCACTGCCCTTACCTCGTTGCCTCCCTTTCCCCCCCCTCCCTCTCCCCCTCCTCCTTGTGTGCAGTGCAAGACCCTTGCTTCCGCGTGGCATGCCCGTCCACGTCCACGTGTTCGGTGCGCTACGGCAAGCCGGTGTGTGCGTGCGCAGCGGGGCAGGTGCTGGTGAACAACGCCACGTGCCAGCCCGACCCATGCCTCGCTGGCACCACCTCGTGCCCTGGCAACCTTGTGTGCGACGGCTCCTCTGGCTCTGCCCAGTGTGCCTGCCCCACCGGCCTCGTGCCCGTCGCTGCTGACACCTGTGTCCGTGAGTGGCCCACCCACCCCTTCCTCATCTTCTCCCTCCTCGCCTCCTCACCTCCCTGCCTGCTCGCACTCTGGCTGCTCCTTGTTCCCACATCCCTCACTCTTAATCTTCTCTTCCCCTCCCCTCCCCTCCCCTCCCCTCCCCTCCCCTCCCCACCTCGTGCTCCCTGCAGCACCCGCATGTGTGGGAGCCACGTGTCCCTCGCAGGCAACATGTGCGGTGGACAGCAGCGGCTACCCCTACTGCCAGTGTGCAGCGGGCTCGTACCTGGCCAACAACCTGTGTGTGGCCGGCACGCCCACGGCAGTGGCAGCCACGAGCCTGGCGCTCTACAACACCGCATCCTACACCAACACGCCCACGTCCATGGGGCCTGTGATTGTGCGCACGGGGCTGCCCGTCAACTCGTCTCGCGGCAGCTGTGTGGATATTCCAGCAAGCATCGCTGGCACCGTGGCCTCCCTGCGCGTGCTGTGGAACGTGCCTGACAGCACGGGCGCCCCCAAGCAGTCGTGCGGCACGCTGTGGTTCTGGACCAGCGCCGCGTGCTACGGCTCCGCCACTGGCTACTACAGGCCAGCGGGAGACGTCACCAACTTTGCGTGAGTGGCTGTGTGCCTTCCCCTGATTGACTTAAAGTAGCCCGATGATGTTGTCTGGTCCGGTGGTCCTCTGCGCAATCCCCCTCCCCTCAGTCCTCCCAATGTACCCCCCTGCTGCTGTGTTGTTGACCCACTTGTGATGGCAGGACCACGTCGGGCAACGTGGCAGTTGTCAGAGCCGTTGCCTGCTCCATTTGATAGCCACCCTTCCAAGCACCTTGATTGCCATGGCCTTGTGTAGTGCTTCCAGGTTCCGTCTGAATCCCCTACAATCACTTTGCCTTGTGTATTATTTTTTAATAAATGCCCTCATCTTTCTAGAACAGCCAATAGGCGATCGCTCACACAGCTTGGAGAGCATTGAGACGTTATGAAGAAATGTTTTCATGCTGTAGCTAGTATGACAACTCGCCGGGCACTGAAATTCTCCCATGTTCCCATGTTTTAATTTAAACCAGGACCTACAATCTCGTGAGTAGTAACCATATGGATATTGCACTGGCAGAAGCAATTATCCATATGGCTAGCTTTATTGATGAATAATGCATACTGCTCCCAAATGCTTCTGCATGTCTTGCTCACGCATTAGCAGTAATGCCAACTGTCACAACAGTACCAACGAACTAAAGCATCTCTTATTCAAATATGCACTACAGCACTCAGCTGACGCACTACAACACAGAAGCCTAGTCTATTTAGTCTCTATGCTTGCACAGATGCACACAAGTTTTGATACACGGACCCACGGTCAGTCCATCCGTCCGTTATGCACAATCTACTCTTCCTTCTTGATGTTGATGAGCGGCTTGCCGAGGTACATGATCTCGCGGTTGACCATGCCATTGAACAGCACCGCGAACGACGCGTACCACGCTGCACGCACGGGAGGAGAACACGGGGGTAGGAGGGGCACATGGGGAGGCACGGCAACCATTAGGCATCCTTTAAAGCCTTTCGGAGGCAGTGCAGCATGCTGCATTGTCACTGGACAATATCGTTTGAACGCGCACTCTGCCGTACACAAGATCCGACGAATCACGGCAGTGCGTCGCCATGCACGGCTGACATCGACGGGGCGCGGAAATCTTTTCACGTCCTCCCATGATGCCTCTGCTTCACGCCCCAGGCCCGGGCTTACCAGCGACGGAGGTGAAGACGCCGACGTATCCGCCGGCGGTGATCCAGGAGGCGCCGCCGTCGACGGGTTGGCCCTTGAAGTCGCCGATGATGAGCAGCACGAGCGTGAGCTCATAGAGGCCGAAGACCACCACGTTCACCACGGACAGCGTGAACGCCGCCGCCAGCATGTACGTGTTGAAGAGCAAGAACGCCACCAGGAACCACGCCTCCGCGCCCGACACGTCGTAGTCGCGCGGCATCCATCCCCAGAGCTTGAAGCAGTAGAAGAGGCCGAGCGAGAGCCAGAAGCAGCCGTAGGTGGAGAAGGAGGTGGAGGAGAAGACGCAGTTGCGCTTGTACTGCCACATGCCCGCCACGAACTGCCCCAACCCGCCGTAGAACAGCGCCACCGTCACCCACGTCACGTCCGGCGCCCACCCTGCCGCACGCCACGCGAAAAAAAAAAACGCATTAATTCACTATTAAGATATTATATACATGAAAAGGAAAATGTGCGCTTTGTTATAGAGTAGCACTCACCGGCGAGGTAAGACGAGAGGATGAACATGGTGCCGGCGAAGGCTCCCAAGCCGAATGCGGAGGCGTCGGCCGGTAGAGACTTCTCGGTGACCACGCGGATGTCATCGGAAACACCGTCCTCGATGCCCATGCTGGCGGTAAGGTGCTTGCTCTGAGACTGGCGGGTCGATCTGCTGGATCGCAGGGACGTTCAAGGGAGCTTGTAGGAGATCCAAGTTGAGCAGGTGTGCTGGAGAAGTTGTTATGCCAAGTCGAGGAGAGAAGGCCAGGAGTGGTAATTGGCTTGGCGGGCCGAACGAGCGACGATAAGTAGTGCGCAGAGGGCAGAGCGAGGCAATGGAGGGGAGGACAGGCTTCGGTGTGATGGGGGAAGTGGGGCGACGTGGGGGGACGAACAGGGGCAAAGGGAAGCGCAGCTGGCGAGGGGGGTTTGCCATTGCCACCCCCCTGTTAGACGAGGAGGGGAATGGAGCGGAAACCACGAGGCAAAGTTCGCAAGGGATACGGGGGGGTTGATTGGCGGAGAATGCTGTTCTCCCACGTGCGCGAATTCCGCGCCTACCAGAACCACGTCGGGGGAAACGCGATCCGAAGGAAGATGGGAAAGATTGTCCAGCTGTGATCCGAGTCAGCATCAAGAAGTTTTTGTGAAACTGATGTGGCAGTATTTGTTGTCACACGTGGTACAAACCGGGCAGGTAAAACCTGCCGTGGGTAAGGCATAACCGATTCCGATTGGTTGTTTGGTTGGCTCTTCATGAGTCAGCAAGGCGTCTGATCGTGATAGATGGAGGCAAAACCACGTGATTCGTCACTAAACGTCCCTCCAAAATCCAATGCGGCAAAAAATATCGTCGCGCTGGATATCATCAGCACGGTGACGCGATCCGCTCGGAAACCGAGATGGCGGTCGCGCGACCCGAGTCTGAGACGAGGACTTCCGCGATCTGGTAGCTTATTTGCGCGCAGCCCTCTCCCCCGTTCCACACTCTTCTCCCGCTCCCCTCCCATCCCCCTAACTCCTCCTTTCACCTCCCCACGGCCCTGCTCTAGTTCTCTCCCCCACTCAGCGAGTATTTCTCCTCTCACGTGGTCCCCTGCCATTTCATAAATCCCAACTTCGTTTCCACGTGGTGACCACTGCTGCCTTCTGCTTCTCTCCAAGTTCCCAAGTCCCAACCTCTCCCCTCGTTCTAGGTCTAAACCAGCCAAACAAACCCTCTCGTTCCAACCATGGCCAGCGAGGCAAAAGCTGACGGCGTTCGCATCGCAGTCGAGAAGGAACTCGTGGCGGAGGTCGGCCCACATGGACTCTCCTCGTTCTTCGTTACAACTTTCGTCCTCGCCGTTCATCTCACTAGTAAGTGTCCCAACAACACTTCCATTTTTTACCGTTCAGCGTATGCTTCTTCATCTTAAATTCTTTCGTCGTTTTGACGATAGCTTCCTCGTGTCTTGTGCATTGCAGATTGGGCGCCGGACGTGATTTGGATCGGGCTGGCCGTGTTCTACGGCGGCGTGGGTCAGTTCGTGGCGGGCATGTGGGAGTTCAAGCGCGGCAACGTCTTCGTCGCCACCTCCTACTCCTCCTACGGCTGCTACTGGATGGGCGTCGCCATGCTCATGCTGCTCGACAAGCTCGGCCTCGTAAGCCCCGCGCCCTCTTCTGCCGTTCCCCATTATCGGGACTAGCTTGTTGCCGATACGTCTCCTCATCGATCAATCTCCCCGAGTTGTTTAATCCCTCCTAACGTAGTTTTTTTCGTTACTTCCTCTCGTGCAGGCGCCCGTGGGGTTCGATTCGTTGAAGGCGCTGGGGTGGTTTCTGTCGGCGTTTCTGGTGTTCAACACGTACATGACGTTCCTGACGCTGCTGCTGTCCAAGGTGGCGTTCCTCACCTTCTTCCTCCTCGAGCTCTTCTTCGTCTTCCTCGTCATCGGCTGCTTCCGCAACGACGCCCCCGGCCACGGCTGGACCGCCGCCTCCGGCTACGCGCTGCTCCTCACCTCGCTCGCGGCTCTCTACATGGCTGCAGCCTCAATGTTCAACACGCTGGCCAATCGCACCCTGCTCCCTGGCGGCTCGCCCCTCCTCAAGCTCTCCAAGGCCGAGTGACAAGCGCATCATAGTCTCACAGTAGTAGCTTTCTTCGGCCTCATCGCCTTGTGCGGGCTCTAGGAGGCCAGATTCATATATTTATGACTGTCCGAGCGGCGGTAGCTTTGTGTGCTGGTGTTGTGTTGTGCAAGTGCCCTAGGGTAGATGTGCGAACGTAGATCTGCTTCAATATGTACTTAATAAAGGCGATTCAATTCAGAAGGTTTTTCAGCTGCATCGTCGTGCTAATGATACTCGGTCTCGGACGCTTTCAACAATGGAACGTCATTCTTTCAGTTGACTGCAACGATGCGTGATCTGCGGATGCTCCAACATTCTTCCTAAATCGGAACTGTTAGAAGTTTTTCGGGATCTACACTGGCAGGCGAGCACATTCTGGTGTCAGTAATGCTCTAGCACGACTGGTGTCAGTAGTGCTCTAGCACAACTAGTAGGTGCACACGGCGGTAGTTGATGACCCCTATTGCTAAGATGTGGTCAAGATGTGCACAACATGTGGTCAGTAGGACTCATAGCATTAGTTTGTTGCACACGGTGGTTCTACTAGCTGATGACCCCTGTTGTCAGCTTCAGCTAGTGTCATATCTCTCACTCAACAGCCATAATATAGGCGACAGATTATTCTGCTATTGCGTTCTGAGAAATATATTACATTTGCCATAATTTGACATGGCTCAATTCCTCTAGGCGCTACTCTGAGCGAACACTGCAAAAGCACAAATCTAGCTGGGACTGCCAGACAACTCTAATCTCATGGCTATTCCCTGTTTTACACCTCCGGTGTGTGGATTACTCTAGAGCCAGCCGCACTGGCGCAACCAAGGCAGCCTACATAAAGTGCTCGCCTGCGAGTGTGAGGGAGGGTCTACTCTTCCTTCTTGATGTTGATGAGCGGCTTGCCGAGGTACATGATCTCGCGGTTGACCATGCCGTTGAACAGCACCGCGAACGACGCGTACCACGCTGCACGAAAGCAAAACATGGGAGGCATGGTAAATGTTACGAGGACCCTTTGTATAAGCTATACAAAAAGATTGAGGGAGAAAACATGAAGATGTGCAGATCGCAATTGTCCGAATCGTTTGCATCGCCTCTTTCGCGCGCTTACCAGCGACGGAGGTGAAGACGCCGACGTATCCGCCGGCGGTGATCCAGGAGGCGCCGCCGTCGACGGGTTGGCCCTTGAAGTCGCCGATGATGAGCAGCACGAGCGTAAGCTCGTAGAGGCCGAAGACCACCACGTTCACCACGGACAGCGTGAACGCCGCCGCCAGCATGTACGTGTTGAAGAGGAAAAAGGCTACCAGGAACCACGCCTCCGCGCCCGACACGTCGTAGTCCGCCGGCATCTGCCGCAAGTCGTTTAGAAACAGGGAAGGTATTTGAGCGAGTGACGAAAAGTTCTGGGGACGAAGCGACGAAATTTGAGGCGATTTGAATCTGTTGATGCGGATGATGCATGAACGAGCTCGGACTCACCCATCCCCAGAGCTTGAAGCAGTAGAAGAGGCCGAGCGAGAGCCAGAAGCAGCCGTAGGTGGAGAAGGAGGTGGAGGAGAAGACGCAGTTGCGCTTGTACTGCCACATGCCCGCCACGAACTGCCCCAACCCGCCGTAGAACAGCGCCACCGTCACCCACGTCACGTCCGGCGCCCACCCTGCCGCACACCACGCGGAAAAAAAAAAAAAAAAAAAAAAAAAAAAAAAAAAAAAAAAAAAACGAATGTTATTGTCGATCCCAATAGAGGAGGATAAGTGCACGAGAAATTAAGGAGAATGCAGCCGCTGCGACGTGGAGACAAGTAATTACGTACCGGCGAGGTAAGACGAGAGGATGAACATGGTGCCGGCGAAGGCTCCCAAGCCGAATGCGGAGGCGTCGGCCGGCAGAGACTTCTCGGTGACCACGCGGATGTCATCGGAAACACCGTCCTCGATTCCCATGCTGGCGGTTAGCGTTGCTGGAGAGCGTCGGGGACCGAAGTGCGCGAAGAAAAGCTGCCCGCGAAGCTTGGTTGGGACCAAGTTGGAGGAAAAGGTGAGAGCAGGTGAATGGGGTTGAAGCAGAAGGGAACGCTTGAGCGTAGTTTGAAGTGGGCGAACGGAGTGAGCAAGTATTTCTACTGCGAGATGCGCTGGGACGCACGGGGGGAAGGAAGGTCGCTGCGGCGGAACTTTGAGGGTGGGGGAGAGGCGAGGCGAGGGGCAGCAGTGGAGAGGAGAGGGCAGCGCAGCGGCTGATGAAAATTGAAGTGTTCAGGGAACCCGTGGGAGGAAGGCTTGGAAGAGGGGGAAGGGGGAGTTATTTGGGGGGGAGGGGGGCTCTGCGATGCACGTATTTGCTCATGTTTGAGGTGCGGACGGGTTGGGGCGGATCTGGTTTGGAAAGGAAGTGCGTGCCGAGCTGTCGTCCGATTCAGCACGAATCAGGCCAATCTCTTGGAGATTAAAACCACGGGGGAAGGTCTGACCCCACACGTGATCTATCTCGGGCAGGTCAAAACTGCCGGGTGTTCAGTAGCGAGCTCTCCCATTCGTTGTTTGCTTGGCTCTTCCTGACTCAGCAAGACGCCTCATCGTGATAGCTCCAGCCAGCTTCCACGTGATAGGCCACATGCTGCCCCTTGAAATTTTGATGCGGCGGATCCCAAGCCTCGCTGGACTGCCAGTGTTTATCCAAACCACATCGCGCTTCGGCGCAAATCTCCGCGCAAATATCCGTGCCTTGGCGCGGATCCCACTACCGCGCAAAAGCAGGTGCGCGCCAGCAACTCTCGTGCATACATTTGCGGCTCTGGTGCCTCCCTCTTCGCATTTCTCCCTTGTCTCTCGCGTTTTCTTCTCACTTGAAGCTGAAGTTCAGAGTTTCTCGCGTTCCATCCTCAACCTTCAACACTTTCCTGTGTGTTATCTCAACCTCGAATCGTCACTTCGATCGGACCTCGCCAGCCATGGGTCTTGACACCGTCGACGCGGGTGTGCGCATCGCTGTGGAGAAGGAGCAAGTGGCGGAGGTGGGCCCGCACGGCCTCGCGTCATTCTTCGTCACCACATTCGTCCTCGCCGTGCACCTCACAAGTAAGGCTCTAACCTCCGTTCCAATGCATTTGTTTTAATGCCAGATCACGGTGATTAAATGCATCGTATTGGGCTACTACCGGAAGTAATGGGCTTCTGCCCATGGCTTTGCAGTGCTAACCAGTGGGCATTGCTGTCTGCATTGCAGATTGGGCGCCGGACGTGATTTGGATCGGGCTGGCCGTGTTTTACGGCGGCGTGGGTCAGTTCGTGGCGGGCATGTGGGAGTTCAAGCGCGGCAACGTCTTCGTCGCCACCTCCTACTCCTCCTACGGCTGCTACTGGATGGGCGTCGCCATGCTCATGCTGCTCGACAAGCTCGGCCTCGTAAGTTCTGGACTTCGTTTGTGTCCACCAACCCATTTCCTGCTCGACCAAGCTCCACAGCTCGGCCTCGTAAGCCCCAAGCGCTCTTTCGCCGTTCCGCGTTTTTTGGGCTTCGCTTGCCGTCGAGACATATCCTGGTCGACGAAGCTCCCGCTTTTCGCGTTTCCTCACCATGTCGCCGCTGCATTGCGTTACTTTCCTCCTTATCAGGCGCCCGCGGGGTTCGATTCGATGAAGGCTCTGGGGTGGTTTCTGTCGGCGTTTCTGGTGTTCAACACGTACATGACGTTCCTGACGCTGCTGCTGTCCAAGGTGGCGTTCCTCACCTTCTTCCTCCTCGAGCTCTTCTTCGTCTTCCTCGTCATCGGCTGCTTCCGCAACGACGCCCCCGGCCACGGCTGGACCGCCGCCTCCGGCTACGCGCTGCTCCTCACCTCGCTCGCAGGTATGCTCTAGTATGTGCCTCGTTACAGATCTGCGCAAGGAAAATGTTTTCCTCACTCCTGCAAACGGCATACATTCACTTTCCCAGAACAGCAAGACTGTCATGGCAATGGAAATGAGAACTCCAGCCTAAACAAATTCTCCTTCCCTCCCCGCATGGTGCCTTCTTCCAGCGCTCTACATGTCGGCTGCGTCAATGTTCAACACGCTGGCCAATCGCACCGTGCTGTGGGGCGGATCGCCCCTTCTCAACCTCTCCAAGACGCAGTAGCCCCAGCCGCATGGAATTCCTTCACACACTGGCTCCTAGGAAGCAGACTCTAAAGCTGCTTCGGGCATCTCAACCTGCCGTCATGCATCGCCCTCTTGTGCCTTGGTGCGTGCGGAACCTTGGGTAAGCTACGGGAACTGAGGTTCTTGACCTAATTTATGGGACAGTCTGTTGTGGTAGCTTTGTATGTAGCTTTTGCAGGTAGGGAAGCAGATGTAGCATGATATGTACTACTAGTAGTGTTGACAAGACAATACGTGCCAACATGTTGGAGAATCCAACCAGAGACTCCAGACCTTCGGAATTCCCTAATTTTATTCACTACCAGAGAACACTGTCATCAACAAATGCAGGAAATGGTTGAAATAAGGCTGCATTTTATCAGCTGATGAACACCTATACCCACTACTGTCAGCGCCCAGATAGAAGACCCATAGGTCTTATCATATGTGTCAAACATAAAAGTATATAATACATAGGTTAGATAGCTGCGCACTTTTAGAGAGTACAACCCCTTAGACAAAACCATCCTGTATCTCACATTCTAGCTAACAATTCTACTCTGAGATAGTATCACGTGCTAGGTTAGGTCCTCCCCGCCTACCCCCGCTTCCGCTTTAGTCCTAGCCCTAGCCGCCCGTTCCTAGCAGCCCGTACCTAGCCGCCCGCCTCTAGCTGCCCGTTTCGAGCCGCCCGTTTCGAGCCGCCCGTCGCTAGCCGCCCGTAGCCCCGCGCCCGCTGGCCCTGCGATCGTCAGCCCCCCGCCCACTGGCCCAGAGCTCGCTGGCCCAGCGCCTGCTGGCCCCGCACACGCCTGCCCCGCGCCCACCAGCCCCGCGCTCGCTGGCCCCGCGCCCGCCTGCACCGCGCCGCTGGCCCCGATTTCGCCCGCCCTGCGCCTGCTGGCCCCGCTTTCGCCAGCCCCGCGCCCGCTGGCCCCGATTTAGCCAGCCCCGCACCCGCTGGCCCCGCATTCACCAACCCCTCGCCGCCGGCCCCGTGTCCCGCTGGCCCTGATTTCGCCCGCCCCGCACTCGCTGGCCCCGCTTTCCCCAGCTCCGCGCCCGCTGGCTCCGATTGCACCAGCCCCGCACCCGCTAGCCTCGCATTCGCCAGCCCCTCGCCGCCGGCCCCGTGTCCCACTGGCCCCCGTGCCTTTTAGTCCCGCGCCTGCTGACCCTGCGCCCGTCAGCCCCGCGCCTGCTGGCCTCGCGCCCGCCAGCCCCGCGCCTGCTGGCCCCGCGCCCGCCATCCCTGCGCCTGCTGGCCCCACGCCCGCCAGCCCCGCGCCTGCTGACCCTGCGCCTGCTGCTCTCTCGCTGGCCGCAGCTCCGCCGGTCCCAGCCTGCCCCGACCCTTCCTACCGCCGAGCCGCGCTGACCCGCCGGCCTTGGCTCCCCCTCTGAGCCGGCTCTCCCGCCGGCCGGCTCCCCCGCTCTCCGCCGCACTCTACCACTCTCCACCGCACTCCATCGCTCTCCACCAGGGCTCTTGCTAGTTTTTTTGCCACCTCGGACGATCCGAGCTCCTCGAAAAATCACCCTGTAAGATTTGACTTCGTCAAGATTCTTCAGGGTCCGCGTTCGAAAAGGCTTGATAGAGTGTGGGCAGTTTTTTTGGGACGAGACAGTGGGGTTGCGAGTGGGAGTGCGGCGGGGTGGGAAATCTGCCACCACAGACGCACCTGTGAAGGAGCTAAATTTGGGCCAGGAGGGGGGGGGGGATAAAGGGGGTGGGGAGAAGGGCATGGGCGATTTTGAGTGGCTGCTCATTTTAAAACCTGTTGCTAAGTGACCATTGATCTGGTAGTACTTGCGGAAATACAGGTGAAGTTATACCTCCTTGGAAGCTTAGGGCGTGGTTCATTTCCCAAGAAACGTTCCTTCAAATTCTTACCGCACTGAATTGTATAAAAAACGATAGTAACACACAGAAACGTACAGAAACCCTGGCAATATTCGAATTTAGGCTATTCGAATCCCTGCCGCTACACAACTTTCCAAGTTTGAGGGAGGGAAGGGTGGGGCTAATGGGGAAAGGGAGGACTGGGGACCTTGAGAAATTCCTACACCCCCTGGAGGCTACCGAAGTGTCAGGGTCCTCCCAAAACCCTACTGGACTCTACGGGTGACTAGAGAAATCTCTCGGAGTTCTTCAGGGCTGGCCTGGGAAAAGCTCTGTAAAGCACAGGGTCGGTGGGGGAAAAGCCTTGGATTTTAAGTCAAGTCCGGGTAATTACCTTGTTAACACGTGCCCTGCTCTCCACTGCACTCCATCGCACTCCACAGCTCTCCACCGCACTCCACTACACTCCACCGCTCTCCACTGCTCTCCACCGCACTCCACCGCTCACCCCTGCTCTCCACCGCCCTCCTCCGCACTCCCTCCTCCCCTTGTCAGTGGCAGTTAGCTGCTGCAGCCGTGGTGATGGCAGACTCTCTGCTCCGTCCGGACGCGGAGGGTTGGGCTGTTGATTTTGAGGCGTGGCTCGTCGACCTCCGCCGCCAACTGACCGGTCAGCGCCAGGACGGCCACTCCCTGGCCGTCCATGTCGACGGTAAGCTCCCGCGCCCCACCACGCCCCCTGCCCTCCCTGACGCCCCCACTTCTGCAAAGCGTGAGGCTTTTGTTCCTGCTGGGCTTGTCTGCGCTGTCTGGGAGTCACGCGACGCCGTTGCACAGCTTGCCATTATTCACGCCCTCCCCCTGTCGGAGCGTCCCCGCTTTACCGCTGTAGCAAACGCCAAGTAATACTTAGATGCCATCATCGCGCGCTATTCCACTCCCTCCTCAGCCTCTGCCGGCCGTCTGACCCTCCCCATGTTGTTCCCTGACCTTGCGTCCTTCCCCACTGTCGCTGACCTCGCCACTCACCTCCGCGCACTGGAGAATAGCTACCGCGCAGCTAGCACTGAGGCACAGCTCATTGCCTTCCTGCCGCCGCTTTGTGCTACCCTTTACCTTAGAGCCACACGCCTTCCTGACCGCCTAGCCACTGCCCGCGACCACTTCCTCTTCCTCCCCGTCCTGCCCCGTCTGGTGTGTCTCACGTCACTCCCCTCCCGTCGGTTGTTCCTGTGGAGGAGTCGGCTGACTCTTGGGGCCCCGCGGCATCGGCTTCGTTGCCTGTCTCTGCCCCGGTATCTCCTCCTCCTCCTCTGCCATCGCCGCAGCAGCCACCGTTGCCGCCGCAGCCGAAGCAGCAGTCGCCGCCGTCGCAGTTGCAGCAGTAGCCGCCATTGCCGCAGCAGCCGCCGCAAGGGTCCGCGAGCTCGGAGGGTGCGGGTATTGAGGAGGGTGCGAGTCCTGGGGGTACTGTTGTGGCTTACCCCGGTGGTCCTGGGGGTGGCACCAGAGCGGAGAGGGTTCTCGTTCTGGGGGTGCTGTTGTGGAGCGTCCCAAAGGTAGCCGTGGTGCAGTTGGAGGTTCTGGTGTCGGTGTGGAGCAGCAGCAGCACTCGCTAGTGTCCGCCCTTTGCCTCATCGGTCTTCCCTCCCCTGGCCGCCCACCTACGCCTCCCCTACCTGTCTACGTCCCAGTGTCTCCTTTGCCAGACTCGTCTTTGGCTCGTTTTTCCCCGCGTTCTCCTCCTGTGTCTCCTCTTTGTGCCTCCTGACCCCACGCCTCCGTCCCACTTCTGGTCTCGCCGTCCCTCCCATGCTCGTCCGGTCACCCTATATTGCTGCGTTCCCATGCGTCTCTTCCTCCCCTCCTCTGGTCGCCTCCTCCGTCGTCGCTGTCTGACTTCCTCCGTGCCGCTAGTCCTCTTGTTCCTCAGGTCCTCGCGTCTCTTATTACCGACCCGTCTGTTCTTGTCTCCAGTCTTGACGCTCTTGTTGCTGCTGTTGCTGACTTTGCCTCTACCTGCCGCCTTAACTATGCCACTGCTCTGATCTCTGACCCTGCCCATCCTCCTTCCATCGGGAGTGTTGCTGTCCTTGGCAATGACATCCTGGAGGAGCGGCAGTACGAGCTTGCTTTCCTGTCCGAGGCCCTGCCTCATCTTTGCTCCATGCTGCTAGTCCGTAAGGGTGACCCATACGCCCTTGACATCCTGACCCCTCGCACATACGCTGAGGCGACCTCGGGACCCTGGGCCTCTCAGTGGATGGTAGCCATGGAGCAGGAGATGGCATCTTGGAGATCCACCGGCACCTACGTCGACGCTATGCCCCCACCTAGGGGTGAACGTAATCGATGGTCGGTGGCTCTTCAAGCTGAAGCGCCCTTCTGGAGAGCCGCCGGTGTTTAAGGCGCGCTACGTTGCTCGTGGCTTCAGTCAGCGCGAGAGTGTTGACCTCTTTCAGACCTTCGCCCCGACCCCAAATTGACTACTCTTCGGGCACTGCTACACGTAGCAGCACAGCGTGACTACGAGCTGCACTCTCTCAACTTCTCGAGAGCGTTTTTTCAAGGCAGTCTGCACGAGCAGGTCTACCTGCGTCGCCCGCCAGGCTTCACCAGCATCTTTGCCCCTATTACCGAATGGCTCTTCCGACGCCCGAATAACGGCCTGCGACAGGCGACGCGCGAGTGGGACGACACGGTTCGTGCTACGCTTCTTGTCCTCTGCAGACCCTTCGCTCTTCGTTCGTTCAGGCCGGACCCGGTTCTACATCCTTGTCTATGTAGACAATCTGGTCTTTGCTAGTGCCGACAGAGACGCACTGGCCTCCGTGAAGACTGAGCTGCTGAGGAGAAACACCTGCACTGACCTAGGAGAGCTGCACCGCTACCTTGGCCTACAGATCTCCGGGGACAGAGCAGCGCGCACCATTACTCTCACCCAGTCACACTTGGTGCACCAGGTCCTTCAGAGGTTCGGTCTTCAGTTCTCCTCCATTCAGCCCACACTTCTGCCAGTGGATCACACGCTCTCATCTCCAGCCCTTGAGGAGTTAGTAGAGCCTAGTGGTCCGTATGCAGAGCTGGTGGGTTGCCTCATCTACATGATGACTTGCACTCGTCCAGATCTCGCATACCCTCTCAGCATCCTGGCTCGCTTTGTGGCCATTGTCAGACACCGACCACAGCACTGGTCGGCCGCTAAGAGGGTTTTGCGTTATCTAGCAAGTACGTTGGGCATGGGGCTAGTGTTAGGAGGACGCAGGCCAGTGGTCCTTACAGGCACACAGACGCTTCATGGGCAGACGACGCTGAGACTCTCAGGTCCTCCCAGGGCTACTGCTTTAGTCTTGGTGCAGGTGCCATCTCGTGGAGGTCCACCTGCTCGTCAGCTGTGGCCCAGTCTGGA